TGGGAAAGCACTCGGCTCGGGATCAGATGAAAAGGAGACGTGCTGATGAGTGTCACCATAGTACTGATAGCTCCTGAACACCATGTGTTCATATGGTCTCACTCAACGGCCTCATCTATGCATTGAACAGAACAAGGAGCAAAACCAAGGAATCATTCACAGTTCAGAGGTATAACCACACACAGAGAAACGTCTCTGACTCAACTTTCATGTATTGTTGCCATTAAATACTTATTCATTCCTAGTAATAAATTAACAAGCTAATGAGGTTAAAACATAAACTGGGCACTGAAAGACATACCCTGCAATGCACAAAAATACTTACATATCAAGTGCTAATTAGCAGGTTGCACAATCACTGGTGGCATTTTTAAATGTACAATAATCGCTTATGAAAGAGAGCAGTTAAGTAAAAATCCAAATCTGAAGGGTACAAAAAGTAGTTTAGGTATAAATCTGTATTATAGCATTTAAGCATGTCAAGAAGGAGAAACCACCCTAAGCACATTATAAAGGGGCTATCCTATGCACAAGATGCTGATGTAATGTTAAGCTCAGTCAGGGTTAAGTATGGCGGATTCAAGCTTCATTCTGGAGCAGGGCTACTGCTGACTGAGGCAGCCTAAGACTGGCAGAGGGAAAACAAACCATAGTTACACCACTCTTTTTGCCAGTTTAATTGATGTCAGGGTCCCAGGTCACATGACCAAGTTGAATGGGCTTAAGATCAAGCCCAAATCCCTGCTCTATGGTCCCACCCCCAGAATGCCCCTTTCCCAGGGCTTAACACTGGCTTAAGACCTGCTAGGCTCCACTTAGCTGGCTTTGTCCTGGCTGAGCTGGAATGAGGGAGATAGAATATCTCTGTCTGAGCTGAGGATAGGGAGCTACACCAGCACAGCCTGACTGTGCCAGGAATCTCCTAGCTCAGCTAGAGATCCACTGGTTCCTGACCATGTTCATCCCGCCAGATCTTGCTATAGGATTGCTCCCTTGATGTGCAAAGAATGCTTTTCTATTTCACTTATTATGATTCAGGTCTACCACACAAATAAGATGCCAGTGCACATTAGAATACATATCTCATTCAAAGCAACACAGTGTAAACAGGCTATCCTCACTCACATGTCCATTCAGTTGTGATTTAAGTGCTGGTTCTCAAGGCAGCAAGCAACACACAATTACTTGTAGAGTATAAAATACGTTTTTTAAAAACTCCCTATCAGTGAATACTTTGCTACAGAAGGAGTGATCACCCATGTTAAGCGATGACCATCTATGATTAGCAGCCTTCACCACTAATGGAAACTGGAAGAAGGGGAGTGCTTTATTTTACTTTTGTGTAGTAGCAAGAAAAACAAGAATCTGCCCACATATCACAACGGTACAAAAATGGTAAATATTTCCATCCAAACCTTTCCAATTCTATGTGGATTGTATTGGTTGCCAGTAGTATACTTGTAACATCAAATGGTAGCTTCAGTTGCATGGTAAGCTTCAGTTGCATAGACTCCATGTGTCTGTTATAATGAACAGACAAATCTGGGACTAAGGTACACCCCTATAATCCATAGAAATCCACCTAACTGCCTCACAACTAGCCAGCCTGCCTTCTACAAGGCAGCTGGTAAGGGGAGGAGAAAGCATCTCTAGTAGTTCCATGCAGACCCAACATGGAAAAAGTTTATAAGCTCTTGGTTCCTGTGCAAGACTCATTCAGTGGCCCATCTCTTGGAGTGCTAATGATGCTCTCATGAGACCTTGTGAAACAATCTGACTTTTTGCAAGGTCTCGTTAGAGCATCCCCACCTCTCCTGAGAATAGCTAAAACCACATACGTTGAAAGTGTGTAAGAAGCAGGCATAGTGTAATGACAGAATCCAGCTGAGCTGACTCACCTTTAATATAGGTCTGTGGGCCTATATTTAAGAATAAGCCAACTATCCACAGCCAATTATTCAGTCAGCAGCAAACAAAAACAAAACCTGATAAAGATTAAATAATCTATCATAATCACACACACTTTAGAGCTTATCTACACAGAAAAAGCCAGTCATATGGTAATGCAGTTCCTGGACATTTCAAATTTCAATTGGGAGGTGGGACAAAAAAAAAAAAGGAAGTCCCCTTCACATTGATAGCTGTAGAGATTCCCTGATATCAAATTTTCTTTGTGAAGGGAGATTTTATAAATGAATTAATGGGAGGGTATTTTATCATTTGAGTCTCACATCAGCCTGAAGTGGTACAGTCCAGGAGCAATTTTACCATGCTTGAGAGACATGTAGACAAAAATATATGTCACATGCATGTTCAGAGGAAATTCACACTTGTGTGTTCATCACTATTTCTGTAGGTTCGCACACAAACCTAATTTGAGTACTGACAACTGAATGTGTGAACTATGTCTGAGGTGTGATCACTGTTCTGAAGATTCTACTGATGATTCTACATCTGTAATGGCTTGTTTACATACGAAAGTCACCACAACACTGCAGCCATGAGCATGCACGTTTGAACAAGGCCTATGTGACTTTTTGGTGGCAGTAGCCCTTTTAACTTTAGCATCAAGCAATGGCTTGCACATGTGAATTGGCAATCACATATTAATTGCCACAGACAGAACTTTAGTATTATCTACTGTGAAAACACACACAGTATTTTCAGTGGGGAAAAGGCATGCATTCTTCAGAGAGCCCCCAAATATATGATGAATCAATACAATGAAAGGCTGGTACCTGGATGTCTGACCCACCCAACCCAAAAAGTGCATTTGGTGCAAAAAAAATTTAAAATAACAAATCACTAGCACTCTTTTAGTATTTTCCCCTGGGTGTACTTAAAAAACAACTACTGATCTCTATACTCTGGCTTCTCTTCAGATTGTATTATTCTATAGCATTTGTTATTCTAAAGTGCTTCCTCTCCTCAACAGGTGTGGTCCACATCCTGATAAAGCTATTGACAAATGTGTCTCGTTGATTTGTATGGACCTGGATAACACCCAACATAGCATCTATCTTAGTTCCAATTCTAGCAAATAGCAGAGCCTTCTTCAGACATTATGTTCCTTATGTGACATGGGAGGGAACAGGGATGAGCTCGTGGTCTCCACCTCCTCATTGTCCATCCCCACTGCACTCCATAAACTGAGGGCTTTCTGTCTGCATTGGGGAGCCTTATCTACTTGTCTGCCTCTTCTTTTTTTGTCCTGTCTTCTGGATCAGCAATTCTCAACCTGTGGGTCCCCAGATGTTGTTGGACTACAACTCCCATCATCCCTAGCTAGCAACTCTGATGGGAGTTGTAGCCCAACAACATCTGGGGATCCACAGGTTGAGAACCGCTGTTCTAGATTGTAAGTTGAGGGAAGGCACTGTCTTGCTTTTATTGATCTGGACTACTACTACTACTACTAATAATAATAATAATTTGTTTATACCCCGCCCATCTGGCTGGGCTTCCCCAGCCACTCTGGGCAGCTTCCAACACAATATTAAAAATACAATAAAACAACAGACATAAAAAACTTCCCTAAACAGAGCTGCCTTCAGATGCCTCCTCTGCAAGCCTTTATTTATTTATTTTTGGCTGAAGAGTAAGGCAAACGTTCTTTAAACAAATAAATAACTAAATACTTGCTGGTTATGATAAATAGTCTTAAGGAACTTTAAACATTGCTCTTTTTTAAAAAATGAATAAAGTGTCAAACAATTGGTCAGAAACTCAGAAGATGCTAGCAGAGTAGTATCTCCCTATATACATAAGAACATAACATGTTGGCGGCCATGCCAACTGCAGCATGAGAAATAACAGGCCAGCCCAGGCACAGTGTTTAATAGAGCCTTGGTTAAATGTACCCACAGCAAGGTTTAATGGAGGGCTGAGGAGCCCTTAACCCAGCAGTTTAGCAGCTCACTGGGCAAAGCAACTCACGTCCCCATTAAACACATCTGTAGGGAAGAGAGGCATTTCACAGAGCAGTTTAGTGAGCTCTGTTAAACCTTGAGTTGGGTGGGGTTGACAAGCTGATGGGCAGATGGGATCTCACATCCAGCCACTCCCGCATCTCCTTCAGACCTTCACTGAAATCTGAAAGCTCTGTGCTTCACTTTGAAGTCCTGACCTCACTATGACATCAGAGATTGACAATTGGACAGCATGGGGGTGGAATGAGCTCAGTGAGTGAGTGGAAGGAGCCGGGAATTTTTTTTGGGAAGGTGTAAAGAGTAAGTGGAGTTGACAAGAAGAGTGAGCACCAGTGGAACACCTAGGTGATGACGACAGCAACAGCTCTAGCTCTGCTTTATCTATTTGATTGTGTAGTTGGAGCGGGAAGCGAACTGTCCTCTTCATTGTCTTACAGATGCAGTGGAAGGGCATTTCCCCTGAACTCATACAACCCCTAACACCAAGCCACTTCCTCAGCCTTATCCAGGTTTTTCTTATTTGGGAATAGTCTCATTCAAGTACTGTATGTGTGCAGAGCCGTCTTTCCCATAGGGCTTAGTGGTGCGTCGCGCCAGGGCGCTGGCCTCTCAGGGGTGCCCCAGCGAGTGGGGGAGCTGTGCGGCTTTGCCAGCGGCCTCCCCTTTCCCTGCATGCCCGCCAGCTGTGCCCCGCCAACCATATGGCTGGCGGGCGTGCAGCTTGCCTCCCAAGCCTCTGTAGGGATCGCTCTCCCACGGCAGCATGGGAGAGAGTTGCAAACCCCACCCCACCCCGGATGACTGGCAGTTCGCAGTTTCACTGCCCCGCCCCCACTATCTATGGTAATTTGGGGATGCTGGGCAGATATTTGCACCCCGGCGCCGCATCTGCTAAAGAAATGGTAACATAAGAAATGGCAGTTTTACACATTTCTTATTTGCATTTCATAATGCTAGCTCCAATTCTTTTCTCATCTCTGTGGAAATATGAATGGTAAAGAACTCCCAAGGAACAATAAGTGGGTCTGGTTTTCGCCACACCTTACACATCAGAAAGACATACAGTTGCAATCACTTTCTAACCACTTCTTTCATTTTCAAAGAACAAGAATAAAGGAATGTGACATGAAAGAGCTGCCTATTTGAATGGCCTATCCCATACCCCAGCTTTTCTCCAGCTTTAACCACAAAAATATAGCAATACATTTGATTCTACATCATGATCAACTGCATGGGGTGCCACACAACAAATACCACATTTCTTCAGTATGTCTTGGGGGAGCAGTGCATAATTTCTGAGAGAGGAAAGCATTTGTCTGCCTTGGAAGGTGCACCATCTAATCTAGGATGTGCATGAGGATTGTCCTTGGAAGAAGTGAGAAAAGGCACTCTACAGAAACTCACTCTGCTTTAAACATTCCTGGAGTTTTAACTTTGGCACAACAAAGAGATGGCAGGGCTAAGTCCAGTCCAGATGCAAAAAGGAACTCTGCAGGAGAGGTCATTGGCCTAAGACTTTTTTCCAGCCCATCATTCCTTCAGGAGGATGAAAGTTTCATTCTTTTATTTCTCCAACCTCTGGAACCCTCCCAGCTTGTGTGGCAAGCTGGGAGATTTCTTCCTCATGGCCTTCCCACAAGAACGTGGGGAGCTGCCATTGGACAAGTATTGAGCACTTCACTTCTACGGAGTCTTTCCCAGCCCTACACAGAGCAAAGGGTAGCCCATAAGAAGAAGAAATCAAAAATCATATTAAGGCAATGCCTTTATTAGACCAGAGCAGTGTGGAAACTTCCAAGTTCTCCAGAACTCTTCAACCATCTAATCACATGGAAGAGCTCAAAATCTCACACACTACGTATTTTGTGTCATTTGGGTTGGCCCAATAAATACATTGCCCTAATGTGGATTTTGGAGTTTTCCCTGCCTACCTACTCAAGGTCCCTTTAACTGAAATTGCTACTCAAGGTCCCTGTAACTGAAAGTGCTGAAATTGTGATCTGCATGCAAAGGAGAGCTATGGACCCCTCCCTCCCCCCAAAAAACTTCCTACCTAGCATGCAAATCAGAAACCTTGCCAGGGGAAAAGGTGGCAACCCTGCCAAGGGTAGGAATCGCAAGCGTCCGGGTTGCCACATCTCTTGTTCTAACCAGGCTCCTATGCCTTTAATAGTCGCCCGACGTGAGAGACATTCGGAAGAGAAAGCTTTTCCCAGCCCGGCTGTGCAAATGTGGCGGGGAAGACCCCACCTGCTTAAACATCATGCAGCTTATCATGCACCGGAAATAAAGGAAGGAATAAATAAATTAAAAGCGGAGAGGCCGCCCCAACCCCGCCAGTCTAGCAGCGGCTCCTGCTCTCGGCAGCCACGCGGCCTCCGGGAGTGCTGCGCCCCGATGCCACCTCCCTGGAGCCGCCGGCCGTCGCTCTGGCGAAGAAGATAGTCCTGGGCTCGCTCCTGGATTTGTAGCTGTACATGAAAGGCACGGTGGAGGCGAAGAGGAGCACGAGGGCCACGCCGAGGAAGATGGAGCCCGTCAGCCACTCCATCCACGCGAAGCCCAGCAGCACCATGGCCAGGAAGGTGAACACCAGGCAGACGCATCCCGCTTTCCGCCGGCAGGAGGCGCAGCAGTGGCCGTCGCCGGGGTCCTCCGAGCAAGAGGCGTCCGGGCTGCCCACGGTGATCGTGGCCGCGCCGCTGCTGCGGTCCGACGACGGCGAGGGCTGCCGGGCGGGGGGCCGGGGCACCTGCAGCAGCAGCAGGCGCTGGGCGCGCAGGTCGCGCAGCAGAGGCGCCCAGCCGCGCAGCTGCTGCAAGATGCCCTCCACCAGCTTGGTGTTGACGGGCAGGCTGTGCACGCGGCCGTCGGGCAGGGCCGTGCGGTGCCGGCACACCGGGCACGTGAGGTGGGAGTCGGGGGGAGCGCCCCGGCCCCGCGGAGAGTGCTCGCCGCCGCGCAGGTGCAGCTGCGCCAGGCAGTCCTGGCAGAAGGTGTGCAGGCACTCCAGCAGCTTGGGCGCGTGGCGCTCCAGGTCGAAGAAGTTGTAGCAGATGCGGCACTCGTACTCGCCCGAGCTGAGCAGCGCCTCGGGCTGCGGCGGCGCGGGAGGCGGCGCAGAAGGCGCCCGGATGGCAGCTTCTGCAGCAGCAGCAGCAGCAGCAGGAGCAGGCTGCGCCTCGGTCCCTTTCAGCGCCTCCCCCTCCTTGCCATCCTGCCGAGCCCCTCCCTCGAGCTCGCCTGGGTTGCAGGCTTCCTGCTCTGCCTGCTGGTCCATGCTGTCCTCTTTTCCTCCGCGCATCAGGGGGCCGGGGCGGGAGATGCTCACTTTCCCCCTCCCCGGGATTCCGCGGGCTCTTCACATGCTCAGCTGGCCGCAGTTGCGCGTGATGCTCCCCCTTCCTTCCTCTCTCCTTTGCCTGGCGAAGGAGGCTTCGGCACCCCCTCGGGATGGCTTGGATCTCAGCACGACTCCCCTCCCCTCCCCCGCCTCCGGTGCCCCTCTTAAGGCTGCTTCTCCCCAGCCCGGTGACGTCACGCGGGTAGCCCCCCTCCCGTGGCCCGAGCGGGCAGAGGCTCTCTCCGGCGGCGGCGGCGGCCCCGCCACTCCCTCTCCGAAGCGGTCGGCCTGCCTGTGCGTGAGCTCATTTCCTCGGAGAGGGAAGCCGGAAGCTGCCGCCTGGCTTAAGGGGGCGGGTTTGGGGGGAGCACCGGCACGAGCGGAGGAAGGGGAGACGGCGGGGAGCGAGACCCGCACCGAAGTGCTGCTATGCGGACAAGGCGTTCCACCCCATCCCGTGTGTGTGTGTGCGCGCAAGTGCTTTCAAATCCATATGTATATTTATATAGGTATAACAGAGAAAGGTAAAGAGGCAAGAGAGCCTCCCCTCCCCACCAGATTAGTTGCACAATGCATTAAATTCACTAATTCAAAACGCATTCAAATAAAGGTGCCCGTCCACAGCCTCCCGTGAGTGCCAGGAGGTTCCCATGCTCCTTTGGAACCGTTTGTGAAATAAAGCTTATTTAACAGCACTATTCTTTTAGAAGTGTTATGGGAGAGAGCGAGAATCATAGAGTTGGAAAGACACTCCGTGGGTCATCTAGTTCAATGCGGGAATATTTTGCCCAATGTGGGGCTTGAACCCACGTCCCTGAGATGAAGAGTCTCAGGCTCTACCAACTGAGCTATATATAAGGGAGTCTGCACTACGTTCAGCTGCCTGCTTTTGTTGTTGTTTCTCTACCATTAGCCAGGTATCTTGCTGTTAATTTATCCACTAAGTCCCATGTTTGTATTATTAGCCACACTTGGTAAAAGTTTGGGTTCAGCTGTGTGAATGTTTAAATAATGGCTGCACTTAATAAGAGGCTGCAAATCATGCCATGCACATAAGGGGGTAAAACAAACTTTGCATTACAATTTATAAAATTCAGTATTGTCAAAAAAGAGTGATGAGGGGGAAAGGTAAAGGTAAAGGGACCCCTGACCATAAGGTCCAGTCGTGGGCGACTCTGGGGTTGCGGCACTCATCTCACTTTATTAGCCGAGGGAGCCGGTGTACAGCTTTTGGGTCATGTGGCCAGCATGACTAAGCCGCTTCTGGTGAACCAGATCAGTGCATGGAAACGCTGTTTACTTTCCCGCCAGAGCGGTACCTATTTATCTACTTACACTTTGACATGCTTTCAAACTGCTAGGTTGGCGGGAGCAGGGACCGAGCAACAGGAGCTCACCCCGTCGCAGGGCTTCGAACTGCCAACCTTCTGATTGGCAAGCCCTAGGCTCTGTGGTTTAACCCACAACCACCCCCTAAAGGGGAACAACATTATTTTTGTTAATAACAGCACATACAATTTTGGCATGTATTTTTTTTTTTATTACCTTGGGTTGAGGGTAGATGTTCTAAGGCAGGGGTGCTTAAACAACTACCTCAGTTTCATACACATTGCCATCTGAAGAGGGCAGAGCATTAAGCCCAGAGCCTAAAATTACCAACTGCACATCTGTATCCCTGTCCTTGCAGTGATGCTGCTGCCTGCCATAGAACAGCCAGCACTAGACTGTATGGACCAAAGGTACCTTCTTATGCACCTTTTTCAGGCTCCACTGAGTAGCATTGTGGCTGGTTGGTTTTCATTTTTAAAGCATATAAAACATTTTGCCCCATCTTTCTTCCAGTGGTGTTCAAGGCAGATCTTAACAAGAAAAGATTGAAACAAAATTCTAATACAAAGCAAAAAACACACAAACAAAACCCAGAATGATCCAAAGCCACAGACAACAAATAACAACATCCATTAAGACCAATTTCCAGCAACATTAGAACAATTTTCCAATCAGACTTAAAACACTTAGTGCCCAAAAGCCTTCCTAAAAATCCTTCAGGGGCATTAGCAAGAGATCAAAGCAGACTTCCCTTCAGAAAGAGTTACAGAGTTACAGAAGAAAGGATCCTTCAGATATCCTGACCCCAAACCATCAAGCAGGGATGGAGAACTTGTGGCCCTCCAGGTGTTGTTAGACTCCATGTTCCATTAGCCTCAGCCAACATCTGGATGACCACAGATTACCAGTCCATGCCATACGTAAAGTAATCATCAGTATTTTGATTTGAAACCAACTGGAAGCTATTATCAATAACATGGTGTTCTATGTTCCCAACAGGCAGCCTGCTGTGAACAATTTTAGGCTAACAATCCTAACCTGCCCCCATTGACAGTGCTTGGCATAATGACTGGGCTACTACCACATCCTCAGCCCTACTGATCATAGAATTGTAGAGTTAGGGACCCTGAGGATCATCTAGTCCAGCCCCCTGCAATGCAGGAATATGCAGCTGTCCCATACAGGGATCCAACCTGCAAGCTTGACTTATCAGCACCATGCTTTAACCAATTGAGCTATCACGGCAGCCATGGTGGAAGGTGAAAGAGGAATCATAAGGGCTGTCTTCACATGGCACTTAAGAAAACAGCTCAGGATCTGTCCCGTCCCCACCCTCCAAACACCCCATTTGGGGGGTTTCCACTGGTTCCCACCAGCAGGGAATCTGCCACCATGGCACTTTCCCATCTTGCAACTAGTGGGAAGCTGGCTGAGCCAGGGTAGTTGGGCAGAAGGACACCTACCAAACCCACCATCCCTAGTCCAGCACAAGGGGAGGATTGCATTGCTCTGTTATTCACCGCTTTGTGGACCGGTTAAAGCTCCTGGACACAGGAGGCAGCCTCAGAGTGTGCTGCAGTGGTCCACATTTGAAAGTGTGTGTTATCTTCAAGTTCTAGGAACTGACACACCTGGTGGAGAAGCCTAAGCTGGGCAAAGATGCATCTGGCTACAGCCATCACCTAGACACCCAAGGTTAAGTCCAGGCCCAGAACCCATTCCACAAATGGGGCACAAAACGGCTTAGCAGAATATCATCAAATAGTAGCAACATAAAACGTTACATGAGAGTTCTTTCTGCCTTATTTGGAAAACTTGCAATGGCTCACTCACTGTTGACCTTCAATCGCACACTCTATTTCCTTGGCAGATCTCGTTCTAAAGTGTTCCCTTTACACAACAGATGCAACCCACATCCTAATTGCAAGAGGCTCGTTTATTTTAATGGAACCGAATCGCACTCCATGGCAGCTTTTGCTAATGTGATACAAAAAATAAGAATTTTAATTCTCTTGTTTGCTTTGAGGCAAAATGAATAATAAAAAACCCATTGTGACCTATCCAAAGATGGAGAAAACAAATATGAAACAGGTTATATAACATGCTGTGACAGACACCCTCACTGAAGGTGGGTGCTGGGTAATGTGGCTGATTTTATGGGTGTATTCATAGATTAAAAAACCCTCCCCTTTCTAACCTCAGAAGAGGTCTATAATTAACTATTTCTGGTAATGTTTTTATTATTATTATTAAACAGCAGCAAAGTTTTGTGCTTCTGTGAAGACTGCCAGATAGCTACTCTCCCCCCCCCATCCAGTGGGTGAAAGTATGAGAAATCACTTCTGCAACAAAACTGAATTGTTTATTTATTTACACTCTATGAGGGTTTAAAGTGTGATAGCTTCACAAGTGAGGACAAAGCTTCTTTTAAGACACACATTCATAACAGAGAATTTCAAAGCAGCACTAGTTTCCAAACCAAGTCTCAGGAAGACTTTTTCCACCTGGAATAGCTATCAGTGTCCTACCTAGCAACACCCACATAGCCCCTTCCAAGATTTAGCTTCCTCTCAGGGAATCCAAACTGAGTTGCACTACCTGGCCTCACCCCACTTAGATAGTCCGAGCTCCCAGCTCCCCACAGTAACATTTAGTCCCTATCTATACCCACTGACAGGTAATCCCTGTCTGAGCCCACAGAGATAGTCAGAACCCCCCAATGCCCACACTGATGGAAAGTCCCTTCTATCCTCAATGACAGATAGTCCCTATCTGAACCCTCTCAGTCAGAGACATCATCTGCCCACAGTGACAGAAAGTCCCTCTCTCTCACTCCTGATTGGCTGGGGGTTTCATCAGCTCTCGATGGTCACCAGAGGCTGTCCCAGGGCCTCCCCACCACACATGCATTCTTTGAAAACTAGTATGAAACCACATGCTTTAAATACATTTTCCTGGATGTGCGGTATACTCATGGCCCCTAATATTACTAGACAAGGAGTTCCAGAGAAAAAGCACGGATTGATTCCTTGCAATGAAACAATGGACATTATTTGGCACTTATAAAAGTGCCAGTTCCACAGACTTAAATGTTGAGAGGCTAATGTGTTCCTTAAAGTAAACTGGCCCCATTGGGCTCTGAAGGTAACACACTGGTAAGGTTATTTATAAGCACTTCAACAATTTAACCTCTTAACTCTCCACGACACACCCCTTCCCCCCACCCAAAAAACTGAATGACATCAGAGGGTGCTTATGCTATGTACAAAAGGACTGCAGTTATGACAGTCACAATCAAACATATTTAAGTATCATAAATATTACAGAGAAAAAACAGCACACTGAAGCATGCATTCTAAGCATGGGGTGTTCCCTCCTTCTGCATAATCTAAAATGAATGTTTAAAAGGACCCTTGAATTCAAGCTCCCATGTACAGCCTTTGATTTTACAAGTTGTATACGAGCAAACCCTAGCCATAGTCACATGGCTAACAGGCTGCAAATGTTACACAGTTTCCCAAAGTTCAGATCATGCATATGAAATCTCAGATTCAGACAGGAATATTTTAGAGCATTTATAGTTATAAATCTCAAAGCGCAGCAAGCAGGACTTCAGATTAAGCAGCATTTGGAGTTTTACTTTCAAAAGGCATTACGTGTAAACCTAAGGTAGATATGTTTGGAACAGTTACAATGCAAAATATACAGGTACTTATCATCTGAGTATACACGTTCAGTTTACAGAGCTCCTTTACATAGCATTTATCCTTAATCTTTACCGTATTTCTCTTTATTTATTTAGTTTAGCATTGCATTTAAATCCTACCTTCCCTCCAAGGAACTCAAGGCAGTATAATACATAGTTCGCCCCCTTATTCAGATGATCCATTAAGCTTCATGAATGGAGCCATGAACCCAGGTCCTAGTCCAATATGCTGACTCACTCAAAGGGGTCAGCAAATGTACAGCACACTCTGACACAGCAGC